CTTATTAAAAAGCAGGTTTCAATACAATAGGTCTGGGTGGAATCTGAGAATTTGCATTTCTAACAAGCCTCCAGGTGATCCTGATGCTGCTGCCTCACACCCACAAACAAGGCTCTTGCTGTGCCAGTCTGAGGGGAGGAACGTAAACATGGTCAAGAATGAGACATATAACACTAAGGCAGTGGTTCTCAACCTTGGCTGCACCTTAGAATCACCTGGGAATCTTTTTAAAATCCTGATTTCTGGGCCCCATCCTCCGGAAATTCTGTTTCTTTCTTATGGGGTGGGGCCACAACATTAGTAACAAAGAAACAGACTTTCCGGAGGATGAGGCCCAGAAATCAGGATTTTAAAAAGATTCCCAGGTGATTCTAAGGTGCAGCCAAGGTTGAGAACCACTGCACTAAGGAGTTAAACGAGTGGGTTTGGGAGTTACAGCTGGGTTCTTGCTGCAGCTCAGCTGTGTGGCCTTCATCAATTCAATCTCTGTGCTTGCTTTCTTTTATTTTTTTTAAAAAATATATTTTTTATTGATTTCAGAGAGGAAGAGAGCGATAGAAACATCAATGATGAGGGAGAATATTGATCGATTGCCTCCTGCACGTCCCACACTGGGGACTGAGCCTGCAGCCCAGGCATGTGCCCTTAACCAGAATCAGACTCGGGACTCTTAGTTCTCAAGCTGATGCTCTGTCCACTGAGCCAAACCAGCTAGGGCTGTGCTTCCTTTCTCATCTGTAAAGTAGGGATAGAAAAGCGCTCATGGGAGACTAAGTGCAGGTGGTCCTTTTAGAAGCACTGAATCACAGCACCTGATGTGCTTTAGCCACATGGGTGTGTGGTTCCACCTGGCTGCTTTCCTTCGTCCACTGGAATCCCCAGAGCACAATAAATAATAGGTGCGTGAATGAACAAATACATGAATAAGCGTTTTCTTTAACCATGGCCCAATTACTGTCACTCGGTTATTGGAACAGCTGCATTCATTCTGTTGTATTTTGTCAACAACCTGGATGAATGAGGTTGATTTTATACGAGGAAAGAAGAGCTGACTTTGATTTCTGTATGTGTGTGTCTGTTTGCACATATCTATGAGTGTGCAAATCTGTGTGTGCATGTGTGTGTGCAACAGGCTAAAGCATTTGCTGCTTCGGGTTCTGTGACAAGATGCATGGGTTTTTCAAGGAGTCTGACGCAGATGATGGAGCTGGCCGGAGTGGGACAGGGAGAAGAGCAGAGAGAAGAGCTGGGGCACCAAGGACACGGATTGGAGCCAAACCTGTTTTTAAATTCTAGCTCTGCCCCTTGTAAGCTATGGGACCTTGGGCAGGTGGCAAAACTTCTCTGGACCTCCATTTTCCTATCTGTGAAATGGGAATAGTAGCTGCTACCTTCCGGGGATGTTTTATTCATTGTTACCCGGCAACTGTCCGGATGCCTAGTGGACGCTGATGCTCCTCTCGACACCTGGGAAAGCACAGTGAACAACACACAGTCACCCTAAGTAACAAAACTGAAAATGCTGGGGGGGAGGCTGACAGCACATAAGAAAATAAATTAGCTTCGGCTAGAGGCAAGTGCCATGAAGAAAGTAGGAAAGGACAATAGGTGAAGGTCACTTCAGAAGAGGAGTCCCTGGCCTGAGAGCCGAGCGAGGAGAAAGAGCTGGCCGTGTGAAGACCTGTCTGTCCCAGGAAGAGGAGGCACAGCTCCCAAAGCCCCGGGTGGAAGGAGTCAGATGCTGCAGAGAAGGTGGAAGGTAGTCGGGGTGGCTGCGGTGAGGAGCCCATGGAGGAGAGGAGCTGGACTAAAGGAGGGCAGAGCTGCTGGGTCCCACAGAACAAATTCACGGCCTTGATCTTGACCTTCAGAGCAATGCAGATTTTAACTGAAGTAAAATATACATAACTTAACTTTATCATCTTGACCACTTTTAAATGTACAGTTCAGTGTCATTAATATATTCACATCGTTGTGCTACCATCATTACCATTCACCTCCTAAACTTTTTTCATGTTGCACAACTGGAACTCTGTACCTGTAACTCTCCATTCTCCACCCGCCATCCCCCTGCCTTGAAACCACAATCTGCCTTTTTGTCTCCATGAATTTGATAGTTTTTACAGAGCTAGTCAATATATATTTATTCTGTGCAATGGGGATTCAGCCTTGAACAAAACAAGTGGAATCCCCACCCAGGAATTGCATCCTAGTGGAGGAGAAAGACACTAAACATGTTAACTAAGAGATAAAGCATGCCAGGCGCTGATACAAGATGCTAGGAGAAAACCAGAAAAATGCAGTAGAAATTAGTGGTAGTGGGTGCTTCTGCCAGAGTGATGGGGAAAGACTTCTTAAAGGGCCAACGTTTGAGGTGAGATGTTTCAGGTTGAAAGCTAGGATCAGGGAGAAGTATTCCAGGGTTGGAAATCTGCCAGAGCAAAGGGCCTGAGGTGGGAACGAGGCGTGTGGAGACCAACGTGTGGGAACATAAGCGACAAGGGAAAGCACCGCTGCGCTTGCGTTTAAAACAGATTGCGGTGTGCAGCTTGGAAAGTGCATGGGGGAGGGAAAAGTATGGTTGTTGAAATGCCCCTGGGTAGGCATTGGCCCAGGCTACCCACGGTGGTAGTTAGGAGTAGAGGGCGGCAGAAGTGTACAGACCCGGGAATACTTAGGAGGGACCATGCTGGAATGAACTGGGTATGAGGCAGTGAGTGGAGAGAGGGAGATTCTGGACTGAAAGGGGAGGTTGTGGCAGAGTCTCAAGGGGGGTAGTGGTTTTGTTACCGGCGAGACCACAAGAACTTGTCCCCTTGAAGGAGAGATTTCAGTCAAGACACAAAGTGCAGCGAAGCAAGTAGGAATTTGTTGGCTGCAGCAAAAATACACTTAGGACAGGGAAACCAGGAAGGTGCATAGAAGGAGTAACGGGAGCACCTAGGCGGGGCTGCTCTGGCTCACTGAGAAGTCAGAGCACAGGGGGCCTTGAAGCAAAGGGGTCAAGAGGTTAGCCCCAGCCAAGCTGCTGCTGCTCATTGCTCCCCTGATTGCAAGTCTCCTGGGGTCCCTTAGAGGGAAGAAGCGGGGAGGGAAAGGCGTGGGCGTGCTCCCCTGGGGGAGAGTGCGCACTGGGTCCTTCATCCAGAGCATCTCTCTCTCTCTCTCTCTCTCAGGTGGAAATCTTAGGGAAGGCCCAGGGGAGGGTCCCAACAGAATATTCATCAGCTTCCCAGCTGTGCTCTTTCTTTCAGGGCTGTGATCTCCACTGACTGGTCAGCGCCAGGGCAGCGGGTCATCAGTCAGTGCAGCTGGTCCTGAGGCAGCCACAGCGTCACTTGTCTGATTTTGCTGCTTTCTGGGCCCGGAGCTGAAATATAACCGAGGCCGAAATGTTATCTTTAGGGAGGAAAAGGTCAAGGGTCCAAACCCCACGACCACTGATATGCTAGGGGAGGACAGGTTACCCCGCGGTGAGACTCTTGTTTTCCCAGTTTGGGCCCTTGTTTGGCATCTGGGGCTTTCTGCCCTGGGGAGTTTCTGTACCTGGCCCATCGTCCTTGCTCTGCGCATGTCTGTCTAACTGCCTGACAGTTAGGTAAGGGAGCTAGAGAGAAAGAAGGGCATCAATTCAAGGGTCTTCTTTTCTTTGCAACCATCCTTCATAGGGTGTGTCTTGTAGTCAGACCCACACCATCATTCCCTGGCCATTTGTAACTGTCCCTCTGAAAAGCCAAAAAGCCAGAGCAGGGCAAAATCTGGTAAAAACACAATCTCCCTTTGTTCTCCACATTACCCTTCTGTTGGACATATCAGAGACCGCATAATCCTGTTTAGGCAACCATAACAACAGTTGACTCCTATGGAGATAGTAATTGATTGAAACCTCTAAGTAAGAGATTGCAAACAGGAATCCCTGCAGGGGCCAGGCAGGTAAATGTGAGAAGCTGTGGGGTGTGGCAGGAAGGGGTAGGAATGTGGTAAACTGCAGAGAGCTGGACCAATCAAATCTTATTGAACTTCAAATTTTTAAGAAGCTTTGTGCATTTAAAAACATGGTCTGGCCCTAGCTGGTTTGGCTCAGTGGATAGAGTGGCGGCCTGCAGCCTGAAGGGTTCCAGGGTCCATTCCAGTCAAGGGCACATGCCTGGGGTTGCCGGCTTGATCCCCAGTAGGGGGTGTGCAGGAGGCAGCCAATCAATGATTCTCTCTCATCATTGATGTTTCTCTCTCTCTCCTTCTCTCTTCCTGTCTGAAATCAATAAAAAAATATTTTTTAAAAATTAAAAAAATTAAAATGTGGTCTGCAGGTCATATTTAGCCTGTGAATCACCAATTTTCTGCCTCCAGAGATCTTTTCATATGTTGTCTGCATACAGCCAGCCAGATCTTTTCCATTAGTGGCCCTAAAGCTTTAACTTACAGGTGTTAACTTGCATCCTATTGACCTTTGACTGGTGGTTAGTGTTTGCATCTTATCCTGATCTGATTGCACGCTAATCTCACTTAGCAACTTGTAAACCTTCTGCAAACTTGGCAAGCGGAGAGCCTGGGTCTCATTCCAAGTCTGAAACATCAACACATAGAACCAGGCGGGACAATGTACCTTAGTGACCTGGAGTCTTTTAAATCAAAACCCTTTGAAAATGGGTGAGTCTAGTGAGCTGACCATTTCCTGGTGTCCCCACACAGCCTGGCCACCCCAGAGTCACCAGGCTTCGGGAGGCCTTTGCATGTAGAAGAATGTGAATTGGGGACTTGGCCCCTTGTTCAAGCCCACCTCCTGACTGGAGCTTTTGTCCTTTTGAGAGAAGAAGGTGTCGCTTTACAGATCACTCAGCAAGGACTGTGTCATGAGGAAGTGTATACAGGGCACTTAGAGACAGAACGTTTCTCTGGAGAAGACTCCCCGCCAAGAGGGTGCCACTCCCCAGAATCGGGGAAGGCGAGAGTGCCGCAGCGGAGTGCTGCTGAGGAGGCAGGAGGCTTTCCGCTGCAGGATGCCTTTCTTTCACCTGCTTCTGCTGTTGGCTGCTGCCCCAGGTTGGTGTCTTTAATTTGGACTCCTACACGCAGCTTTGAGATAGTCCTTTGGTTTGCTTTTCCCTTCTTTAGTAACTTCTCAGTGTTGGTCCTGGAAGCTGTCAAGGGCCCTGGGCTGTGCCACGTTGGAAAGTCTACGTTTCAGTCCAAATGTCCTCTCAGAGGCACGTGACCTGGGTGTAGGCAGGTGCAAGTTCTTTGGGGGGCATTTTGGAAATATCTCCCAGGTCTCAGAGCCAGCATCCCACCTCTGGGAACCTAGACTATGGCAACACATAAGGACAGAAAGATATATGTAGGCTTAGTTGTCATGACAAAAACTGGAGCAACCTACATGTTCATCAATACAGGATTAAATAAATGGTCCAGACATACGATGGACATTGGAGTCATTAAAAGGAGGAGGCAGACCTGTGTGTTCTGATGTGCAGGTAAAAGGTAATCCAGGGTGTACTGGAGTGGAGACAGGAGGTCCTAAAATTCTGAACCTAAGAAGATCCCTTAAGAAAGAGCTATCTATATTTACATGCACACAGAGTGTTCTAGAAGAATATATACAAAATATTTAACAGTGTAGTTTTTAGAGATTGGGAGTGGAATATAGTAGAGCAGCAGAGGTGAGGAGAAATGAGTGGAAGATGTTAAAACTTTTACTTTGTATTGTTTTATTTTTAAAAAATGAGTATATATTACATTAAAGTAAAAAATCAGACCCAAGAATTTAAAATTAATTACCCAAATTTTGAATGCATAACATCAAGACATTGGTTTAAGTGATTTTTTTCCTTACCGTTGCAAGAATTGATTTCATAAAAGAACTCAATTAATGAATTTAGCCATTTTATTTACAACCAGGCACATCTAGAATTGGGTAAAAGCCAAAATGTCACTATTGCCAATAAAAAGGTCAAGTAAAATATGGTCAATATTCTAAGAATAAATGATGGTTACCTGAAAACTGAAAAGGCTCTCTAACTTCCAAATACTTTAGTTAGGCATGATTAGATTTGATATTTCTGATAAAAACAAATGGTAATATTTGCAAAAACAACACTGAACTCCTACAGCTGTGCTGCTGAGTATGGTAACCACATCCAATTGTGATTATTCACTACATGAACGTGGCCAGTTGGAATTGAGATATAAGTGTAAAACATGCACTGGATTTTGAAGATTTTGTATGAATAAAACAATGTAAATTACCTTATTAACATAAACTTATTAGAAACTAGAGGCCGGGTGCATGAATTTGTGCACCAGTGGGGTCCCTTGGCCTGGCCTGCGGGATCCAGCCGAATCCAGCTCTCCAACACCCCCCAAGGGGTCCGGAATTGTGAGAGGATGCAGGCCAGGCCAAGGGACCCTGCCAATGCATGATTGGGGGCGGGGAGAGACGTGGGTAGTTGGCCAGCCAAGGAGGGATTGTGGGAGGGTTCCAGGGCGTGTCTAGCCCTTCTTGCTTAGTCCTGATTGGCTGGACCCCAGCAGCAAGCTAACCTACCAGTTGGAGCATCTGCCCTTTGTGGTCAGTGCATGTTATAGCGACTGGTCGATGGGTTGACTATCTGCCCCCTGGTGGTCAGTGCACAGCATAGTGAGCGGTTGAGCAGCCTTAGCATATCATTAGCATATTACATTTGATTGGTTGAACAGATGACCAGATGACCAGACACTTAGCATATTAGGCTTTTATTATATAGGATGTTGATCACATGTTGAAATGACAATATTTTGAATGCATTTGGTTAAATAAAATATAATATTCAAACTAAATTCACTTAAAAAACTTTTGAAATGTGGTTACTAGAAACTTTTAAATTAAATTACATATTGGACAGGGTTGTTCTCTAGTCCTAGATAACCTTTAAGCAGAATTTTCTGAAGTTATGGAATACTCTACTTGAACCCACTGCTCCAGTTTTGTGTGTGCATCCGTCTCGTTGAAATGGAAACATCAGGTGAATTGATACCATCAACTCAGTGGGTGGGACATTTAGTAAAGTAAGGATATAATGAAATCTAAGGAAGATTATATTTCAATTTAACTTGTTCTAATTTGCTTTTTTCATGGGTGAAGATTTTTATGTTAAACCTGATGTCATAAACTAGAGACTCTCGATGCATTGAGGACAACAGATGTTTTGAATAGCAAAATATTTCACCAAAACACCTCCATTTTAGGATCCTCACAAAAAATAACTCAGATCACATTCCCATGTGGGCAAGTAGCAGCTGCCTCCATTAGGTAGGAACAAACTCTTGGTTTCACCACAGTCCCCACTAATCCCTGATGTCCTGCACACAGTTACTGGGCATTATTTTACTATCTCCATTAAAAGTACAACTAGTTTTTTTTCAAATCTCCTTTTGTCCTTGGATATAAAGGGGTAGCCTCTGGATCTCCATTCTCTTATAGGCCTACCATCATTTTGATCCTTTTTATTTATTTATTTTTAATTATATTTTATTGGCTTCAGAGAGGAAGGGAGAGGGAGAGAAACATCAGTGATGAAAGAGAATCATTGATCAGCTGCCTCATGTATGCCCCACATTGGGATCAAGCCTGCAACCTGGGCATGTGCCCCAACCAAGAATCGACCCCTGAACCACACCAGCCAAGCTTGATTCTTTTTATTTTGGCTTATTAATTTAATTTCAGAGAGTAGGGAGTTTATTATGGAACTATTCTGACAGTAGATGCATAATAAAATGTCAACTTTACTTATTTAGATAATAGTTTAATGGATGAGTTAATATGCTCAGAAAATAATTGTTCTCTTTCCTAGAGATTATTATACATTCAGGTATTGAGCTGTTTTTTAGTGGAAAACTAAGTATTCCTAAAATTTCAGCACATAAATATAATTGAGGAAAATCCCAAATCAATTTATTCTTTTTAAAAAAATATATATATTTTTTATTGATTTTAGAGAAGAAGGGAGAGGGAGAGAGAGATAGAAACAACAATGATGAGAGAGAATCATTGATTGGCTGCCTCCTGCACGCCTCACACTGGGGATCAAGCTGCCAACCTGGGCATGTGCCCTGACCAGGAATCGAACCATGACCTCGTGGTTCATAGGTCAAGACTCAACCATGGAGCCACGCCAGCCAGGCCAATTTATTCTTTAATGCAATGGCGACAAGGTATCATCAGATGCAGAAGTCACTCTTGACATGACAACCTATAAAACCAAATAGAAAATCTGAACCAGTGAAATGGCAAGAAAGTTGCAACTTTTCATGTACAGATAGTGTCACAAAATAAGGTCTTGAGGGATAGGTCAATAGTATGTACTAGTAATTGATGTACTTCAGTCAGTAAAATGAATAATTTCATTCATTTATTTTTTCACTTATTCATTAAATAAATATTTATTAAGTGCCTACTCTGGCCAGACACGGTTCTTGGTCCTCCGATATAGCAGAGACCTCACACATGGAAGTCCTCAATTTCAGGAAGCTTGTATTTGAGATGGGAGGAAGGAAGCAAAAAATACACATATAAGTAAATAAAATAAAAATAAGCAAATAATATATGACATTTTATAATTTTCACCTGCAAGAGCAGGAGATGTTGTTATTTTATATAAGGACGGCCTGGGAAGACTCTCTGACACGGGGACAGCACATATAACAGAGTCCTAAAGGAAGTGTGTAAAAGAGAAGTGGGCACCCAGGGGAGATGGATTTTGGGCAGGGAGAATGTAAGGGCAAAGGTCCTGAGGCAAGACCTGCTGCACGTGTTTAAGGAACAGAAATGTGTGTGTGTCTGGAGCAGAGGACGTGAGGGCAAGAGTGTAGAGTATGAGGCCAAATGAAGGAAGGACAGCTTCGTTGGTCACGTGGGGTCTGGAGGCCAGCCTATGAACTTGGCTTTCACTCTGTGTGAGATGAAAAGCTGCTAAAGGAGTTTGAGAAAAGAGTGCTGTTACTTGACTTCAGTTTTAGCGCATTGTGGGTAGCTCGATCATGTAAAAGATGCTTATTTATATCATCTACACAGCCCTGTATTAGTTTTCTTTTGCTGCTGTAACAAATTACCACACAGTTGGTGGTGACTTACGTCAACATAAATGTCTGAACTTCAGTTCTGCAGTTAGAAGTCTGACATGGGTCTCACTGGCTAAAATCAAGGTACTGGCATATCTGCGTTTTCTCCTCGAGTCTCTAGGCCACGCCCATTTCCTTGCCTTTTCCAGCATCCAGTGGCCACATACATTCCTCGGTTAGTCACACCTTCCTCCGTGTTAAAAACCAGAGTCCTCAGTTAGTCACACCTTCCTTCATGTTAAAAACCAGATTCCTCAGTTAGTCACACCTTCCTTCATGTTAAAAGCCAGACAGTTTGCATCTTTCCGATCATTCTTCACATCTCCTTCTGACTCTCTTTTCTGCTTCCTCTTCACTTTTAAGGACCCTATGGTTACATTGGGGTCACCCAGATCATTCAGGATAATCTCCCATCTCAAGGTCATCACATCTGCAAGGTCCCTTTTGCCAAGTAACGTAACACACTCAGAGGTTCTGGGGATTAGGAAGTGGACAACTTTGCGTGGGGCCATTATTCTTACATACTTTGCTAAATAACCCCCCCCCCCCCCCCCCCCGCAGCATACACATATCTACCCCCAACAGAATGCACATCTGAGCTGTGGAGAAAAAATCCTGATTAAGACTTTGAAGTGCGGTTCCAGAGGGAAATCAATGAGCAGAAATTAAATTTTCCACTTACAAATTTCATGGCTCAGAAATTTTCAGATCCTTTCCTAAACAGAAAGGATGTATTGTGACCTTAAGCACATGTGTAGAAGCAGAAGAGAATTTGTTGAATCAGGAAAGAGGATGATGAAAATACTTATAACTGGAGAGAGGCTTGCAACCATCTTTAAAAGAGATTCATGAAATAACTCAGAGGATCTTTGGATGGAAAAAAAAAAGAAAAAAAGAAAGACGCATTAATTCTCTAGCACTTCAGGGCTAGAGGACACCATCAGGCAGAAAGGTGGCGGTGTCAGCAGATGGAAGCTGTGTGCCCTGGAATGATAAATGAAGGGAGGTGGGTGGGGTGCTGACAGTGTGGGCGTCCTTCCTCCTCCTGGATGCATCACACCTCCTATGAGGCTGGGAGTGTCTGGGGTGGGAGAGAAGAAGCAAGCATGAAGCCCTTATTCATCAATGTGGAAGAGCATGTGTATATACTCTTACTGTGAATGCCTCTATTATTTATTTTTTGGGGGGGAGGTAAAAAATTCTATGTAATTTTAATAATTTTTTTCCAAACTAAAGGAAATATACATCTTAATAGAAGTCACTTATCAAGTATAACAGAGAGATCTGCTTCTTCTTACAAGGCCACAGTCCTATCCGTTATGGGCCCCACCCCTATAACCTCATCTAACCTTAATTACTGTACCTCCTAAAGACTGTCTCCAGCTACAGTCACATTGGAGGTTAAAGTTTCAATATAAGAACTTTGGGGGGACACAATTCAGCTCATAGCATTCTGCCCGAATTCAAGGGCCTTGATTCAAACGTAATCACACTCACAGGCATGTCCACAAGAATGGCCACATGTCTGGGCACCTTGTGGTCCAGTCAGATGGACACATAGAATTAACGCTCACAATCTCTGACCATGGAGTCTGTGTGTCCTGACAGCATCCGTTAAACTGGGCGGCCTAACCTGTTAGCTGGAGATTAGGGTAAGGCCTCAGATACTTCACAGTTTTTATTGATCCTACTACTGGTAAGCCTCCTCTGCTGATTTTATGACTTGTAATAAAAAAGGAACTGTAAGTATTTATTGTACGTTTTCTTTGTGGTTTTAAAATATGAAAGAGGTCGGGAAGCATTGCAAAAACCCCTATAAAAGTAACATTTTATTTTTCCTTGAAGATGTTCTAGCTTTTCCAGATTTTGTCATCGAAAATGGCAGCCCTGTTCTGGAGAATGTCTCTGAACATACACGGGTTGCCATAATCACTGTGTCTGTCTCACCTCCCGCTTCTCTGATTGGAGATCCTGTTATCATTAATGCCGACCCTGTAGTCCATCCATTCGTGCTGTCTCGTCGATCCACACATCAGTGGGAAGTAAGTATCGAGGCAAACAGTATCATCACTTGGTACCACAAGGGTTCTAAAATGAAACTGCCGTCCTTGCCCTTCTTACCTTCTACTCATATTGTTTAGCTCCCACTCATTGGGACCCAGGATGTTCCAGACCCTCTAAAAATTCTTGAGGATATCAAGATGCATTTATGTCACAGAGATCTATTGAGGACCTCCTCGGACACAGGGCAAGGCCCTGGGGCTCTCTTGGTGGAACTCCGTCCTCACCCTCATGGCTTTCACTGGTTCACAGGGAGCTCTACTAATAAATGGAGCACTCACACAAGTATAAAAGTGTGAGTGTGATAAGAGCCGTGAAGGACAGGCCTGCAGGTCTGTGAATGCACCTAAGGGGGACACTGGACCTATCAGACTTTCCTAAGAGCTACATGATAAGCACTCTTCAGAATGAATAGGAATTAAATAGATGAAGAGAGAGACAGAGAGAACTCCAGGCCGAGCATGTGCAAAGGCCCTGTGGCAAGGAGTGTCGTGAGGTGATGAGACCAAGAGGAGGCCAAAGTGGCCGGAGCTGATGGGGGAGTGTGGTGAGAGATTAGGCCAGCTGTGGGCAAACTACGGCCCGCAGGCCGGATCCGGCCCATTTGAAATGAATAAAACTAAAAAAAAAAAAAAAAAAAAAAAAGACCGTACCCTTTTATGTAATGATTTTTAAAAAAATATATTTTATTGATTTTTTTACAGAGAGGAAGGGAGAGAGAGAGAGTTAGAAACATCGATGAAAGAGAAACATCGATCAGCTGCCTCCTGCACATCTCCTACTGGGGATGTGCCCGCAATCCAGGTACATGCCCTTGACCGGAATCGAACCTGGGACCTTTCAGTCCCCAGGCTGATGCTCTATCCACGGAGCCAAACCAGTTTCGGCTATGTAATGATGTTTACTTTGAATTTATATTAGTTCACACAAACACTCCATCCATGCTTTTGTTCCGGCCTTCCGGTCCAGTTTAAGAACCCATTGTGGCCCTCCAGTCAAAAAGTTTGCCCACCCCGGATTAGGCTGTGAAGGAGTTGGGAGGCAGAGCCCGCAGGGCTATAAGCCTTGTTAGGAAGTTCCGTTTACCATCCGGTATAATAAAGCTAATTACCCCCCGAGGTAAAGTTCAGGCAGGCTTACTGCTCATGATTTGGGTTTCCTAAGCTAAGGGTTCCTCAAATATGATGCGAGCCTGCTGCAGGCGCAGCATCCACCCGGACCCTCTGCATCCTCCCATGGGACCCTGGAGCAAGGGGACCAGATGAGCGTGAAGCTCATGCTGCTTGCCGTGCTCTGAGCAATGAAGTCCTTAGGAGCAAAGAGTCTTACGTAGGGGATCAGAACTGGCTCCTGGTTTTAAGAGATTCAGAAACTGGTAGGGAGGACAGATGCCTAAGTGACCAATCGTAGTGCATCACGAAACGCAGTATGAAAGTGGTTAAGAGCCAGGGACTCTGGAGTCAGACTACCTGGATTCAGATCCTGTTTTGTATTTATCGCTTTGGGCAAATGACCTACCCTCTCTGTTCCAGTCATGTGTCCATGCCATGGGGTGGAGATACACATAATGCTCTGAGGGGGGGGAATTGCAAAGTCACACGGGAAAGGACATGTTATAGGAAAGGCTAAAGGATTGGGGACATGCAATCTGCCACTACATCTAAGAACCATTGGGGAGTTTTGTGGAAAAAAAGAGATGATTTGCTTACATGTTATGGGGCCCACGTTGGCTGCTGTGAGGGGCAGAACCTGTCCAGTAGGAGGTTGCTGAGTGCCCTGGCCAAACCTTGGGATGGTCAGATTTTAAATTCGCTTCCGACTTCAGTGAAGTACAAAATGCTGTGCATGCACTTATCAGATTTTCAAATGAGTCTAAACAGCAAAATGTCAGCAAAGAGTGTTCAATAGTTAAGCGTATTGATTTTCTTTAGTGTAGCTTTGTTTTTTCCTGTAAGGTAGTAAATCCTAGCTGTTCTCAGCACAGGTTTTAGGGGCTGACAAGCCTAGCGCTAAACCACAACTCCTCCAACTAGCAGCAAGGTGACCTTGGGTAAGTTACTTGACTTTTCTGTGCTTGGGTGTTCTTTGTTTCTGTTTTTCTGTACAAAGAGATTAATAATAACAAGACTTCACTCAGGGCTTGCTAGGTAGGTCCTGTCAGGTAATGCGTGCCAAGCGCCACCTCAGTGCTTGGCCCATAAAAAGGAATGAACACAGAGCAGCAGTTACCTAATACATATACTTATACCTCAATATTCGGCACTATTGTCAAACTACAGACAATAAAGCTATAAGAAAGTCACATTGTAATAACTGTATCATAGACCGGCTCTAGAGAGCTTTAGAAACAGTTCAAATATGAAAGTTTTCTATCATGGAAAAAAATCTGCAGATAAAGGCAGAACGCAATGAGCGGATATTTGTCTCCACAGCATTCCAGTGTAAAAGGGCATACTCTGTTCTATTTGAGGTTTAGCATATTATTATCCTTTCTTGAACTTCTTCCCTCGCAGGATATAGGCTTATTCAGTTTGCAAAAAGCTGAGCTTAGGAGGGGCTACTGGGAAGACTGTAAAAAAAAAAAATTGCCAGAGCCAAGCTAATCTGCTGGAGAAACAACAGCAGAGCTCGCAGTGAGCTGATTACATAGATAAATCAAACTCTCATGGAGATGAGCCACGGCGTGCTCCGGTTATGTAATCACCAAATTGCTACCTGTCACTGGGCAGCATAAATGGCGGGCACTGGCGGGACAGAAGAGGAATTCAAGGTACCCTGCATGCGAGCACTTTTCCTGGATGGGGGTAACCACCCAGAGGGGCACTTCAACCACCTTCCTGCCTTCTTCCTCTGCCAAGTGTAAAGAATAAGCATTTGTGTTTTTAAAAATTCAGTAAGCATTTGTTGAAAAGCTTAGTATTGTATAAAGTGCCAGGGAGCAAGGAGGACAGGTGCTGCCCCCAGGGGCTCCCAGGGCAAAGGGAACCCCAGCAGGAGGGTCTGCCCTAGGCTCCTGGGGCAAGAAAGTCCTTTATCACAGCTCGAAATCCCATACATCTTCAAATCAGGCTATAGTATTAAATTAACGCATCAAAGCATCAGGGTGGGATGAGAAGAAAAAAAACTTTAGAGTCAGGGTGACCTGGCTTTAAATGTCAGCTCTGTCACGTGTGAGCTGTATGACTCGGGCTTCTAACTTCTGAGCCTCTGTGTCCTCACTGATGGTATCATGAGGATGAGAATAGCCTTTGCTCTGTGAACCAAAGAGATAAAGTGTCCATTCTGTGTTAAGTGTCCAGGGAAGGAGAGCTGCCCAATATGCATGCATGACTGACTTCTCATGGCTGTGGGAGGGTAGCACTCAGGTGTTACTACCAGTCATAGTGCTGGTCAGTGCAAAGGTCCTGGGGCAGGAGTCAGGGCCAGGCCTTCCTCTTCCTACAGCATGACTTTGCCAGCTGTATTATATAATCTATAATCTGTGAAATGGTGGTAATAATAGTATCTCCCTCATAACCTTTTTTCCGTGTTTAAATGAGGTGAAGTACTGAGAGCAATGCCTGGCTCCGTTTTCATCCATTTCAGGTGCAAGGCAGTTTAGGCTTATGGTTAAGAGCATGAGCTTGAAGTCAGGTGGAGTCAGAGCTACTGCATTTTCTGTGAAAAGCTGGACAAGCTGCTTAACCTGTTCACCCTTAGTTTCTGCATCTGCATAATACACCCAATAATATCCTTTTTGCAATTAAAAAGGAGAGAATGACATGTTTGTTAAGTGCTTAAGATAATTTCTGATAATTGAGAGTTGGGAGAGGGACTCAATAAACTCTGTCGTTAGGGTTAGGAAGAGTAACATGGAAAGGTGGGAATTCTCTGTTCATGGAGCTTTTCGATAAATCAGATCATGTTGCTTCCACATTTTAAACACAAGATTTTTATCTCTTTTTAACAAATGCTGAATCGAATTGGGGATTATAGATATAGACTACTCTGTCTTCAGCTGTGGGCAAACTACGGCCCGTGGGCCGGATCCGGCCCGTTTGAAATGAATAAAACTAAAAAAAAAAAAGACTCTACCCTTTTATGTAATGATGTTTACTTTGAATTTATATTAGTTCACACAAACACTCCATCCATGCTTTTGTTCCGGCCCCCCGGTCCAGTTTAAGAACCCATTGTGGCCCTCGAGTCAAAAAGTTTGCCCACCCCTGGCACCCTCGTAAAGCCGTCATCGGCTCCATTACCCTGCACTCCTTTGTCTAATGTAGTTACTCACCACTGGAGTACCGAAGCTGGACTTCGAGACGGTGACCCTCTACTCCTTGATAATCTATGCCAAAGACAGCCACGGGGTGACGGCATCCCAGACCATTCTAATCCAGATTGCGGATGTGAACGAGCCGCCCACCTTCAGGGGAGCCCTTGCTCAGAGAGACCAAGGTACAGAGCTCTCCTCTTGGGGTAAGAAGGGTCCACTGGGTCCATGGCATGGCTGCTGTGTCCTGGGTCCTTTATGCTCTCGTAGGGTGATGGCTATAGGAGAGATAAGGAGAATGATGCTAACAAAATGAATGCTAAAGGGCTGGCACCTACCGGGTGCTAACTGTGGGGCAGGTGCTGTCCTGAGAGTGAGGGCCTCAGGCAGGTTAGTTCATGAAATTCTCATAGCTCTGGAGGTGGGGGCTGTTCATATTCGTATTGTATAGATGAGGTCACAGACTCAGAGAAGAAAAATAACTTGCTTAGTGTTAAAAACTTTATTTTTCTGCCCTCGCTGGTGTGGCTCAGTGGATAGAGCGTCGGCCTGCAGACTGAAGAGTCCCAGCTTCAATTCCAGTCAAGGGCACATGCCCGGGGTGTGGGCTCGATCCCCAGTAGAGGGCGTGCAGGAGGCGGCCAATCAATGATTCTCTCTCATCATTGATGTTTCTATCTCTCTCTCTCCCTCTCCCATCCTCTCTGAAATCAATCAAAAAATATTGTTTAAAAACCTTTATTTTTCTGTTTGATTATTATGTACTCTAGTTACTCTTTTATAGGTGTGATTATTTAATTAACAGTGTGTCTGTATCATTAAGTTAGAAGCTTCTCGCTCTCTCTCCATTTGATTTTCGCCTCATGTGAATCTTTCTCTCACTCTTGTCTCTGTCTTTCTCTTCTCTGACTTCCTATGTAGTCAAGTGTTTAACACCTGCATGTGGACGAGTCATGTTCTCTATTGAAAACAATCGCTTGAGGTTTAGGTGTTGGGGTGGCCACACACTGGAGAGAGCGATGGATCCTGCCTGAGCCTCAGTTCCTCATTGGGCACACAGGTATTAATTTCCACTCCATGCAGCTCACCCAACCATGGGCATGCAGAAGGTGCTGAGTAAATGTTAGCCTTCTTCCATCCCTTTCCCTAGCAGATGAGAAACTCCTCAAGGATAGATTCAAGGGGAAATTGTGTTCTTTTGCCTTCTGAAACAGTGAGCCTCATGCCAGGTTGGCTGTGGTCCAAACAGGCTGTGGACTCCTTTGCTATCCACAAATCGTGCCGCCTGGCAGAATGATGTGGTAGCTTCTGCCAGGGTGGGTTATCCCCTCAGGCACTGAGGGCACCGGTGCCCCAGTGTTCCTGACTCAGGGAGAGTGGTTTGACCAGTAAATGGGCAAGTTTGTGGTTGCCACAGTTTTAAAAATGGATAGAAAGAGGGAAAACTTGAGGAAAAGACAGGCATTAATAAAATCATCAGACAATATTAATATACTAGAGGCCCTGTGCACGAAATTCGTGCATGGGTAGGGTCCCTAGGCCTGGCCAGTGATCAGGGCCAGCTGGGGCCTTCCTTCCAGCTGTTGGCTGCCGGCCTTGGGGCCTTTCTTTGTTCTGCACCACCCCATGGTGGTCAGTGCACGGTCAAATTCCCGAGGGGACAATTTGCACATTAGCCTTTTATATATATAGATTACTTGGGTGACTTTAAGTGAGTTACTCAATCTTTCTAAACTCAGTAAAATGGGAATAATAACATACCAATGATGTCAATTGCTCAGCAATCAGAAAACGTTCAATATGGTTACTGTTTAAATTTATAAATCTCTTTGCTCTCTACCTGACACACGATAGATACTTGACAAATGGTGTCTATTTTTATTATATGGCTATGATTATCATGGTTAATGGGAATCACCCTGTGAAAACGTCTGTGCTGAGCAAGCACAGTGCCTTCAGTTTTACCTTAAATCCAGGAGTGGATGAGGGGCTTTGGGGCTTATAACATCTATCACCCATTTTCTGGCAGTTACTGAGATTTATATCCTGGAAGACACTGCCCCGGGCACAGTCATTTACAGAGCAGCAGCCGCGGATCCAGAGGATGCTGTTTTGGAGGTAATTTATGGCTTGGGGCAGAGAATATCAGCGCCTGGTGGTTTTCTGTGTGGCTGCATTCACATATAAAACCACAGGGATACTCAGTACATTATACCACAATTCAGGGTCCAAACATACCTTTCACCTCAAACATCAGGACATTTTAGGTGAAATGATTGAGGGATGGGCTGTCTGGGTAATTGCTTCCCTTCTAGTGCATTCTACCTGTGCAGGCAGGGCCAGCGAGTCCTTAGGTATTGACAGAAGAGGCCCAGCCATTTCCTCTTGTTCTTGGGGATCCTGGCTACCACACACTGTTGAGAAACATTGCAGCTTTCTGGCGGAATTAATCTGCATTTCACAGCGTTGGGCCTCGTCCTCGGGCTTTATGATGCCCTGGGAATGCAGTTGTTTTCAGGGTGGGTGTCTTCCAGTTATGATACCACGGGAGGGAGGAAGTGATGACCTGTGGCAAGAGGCTTGGCCTTAACTCCTAACTCCTCTGCTGCAAGTCATTTAACATTTCTGTCCTGTTTCAGCTGTAAAGTTGGGGAAAGGCTACCTGCTTTGTCTTCTCTCCTATTGCTTTCTCTCATATTACATATACTGAACTTGAAAGTCATTTTTAAACTGTAAAATACCTTACAAATGACAAAATTTATATCACTGTCTTAATTTTTGATGCTGTATGGAATGGTTTTGGCATTATTAAGTGGTAACATTTTTAGCTAATGGAGTGGTAGATAAGAATATTATGTTTTTAATTTTTAATGTATCCTTTTCCCAAATTGGCCAAAATTTAGAGAATTGTACATGTTGATCTATACTTTCAACATTTGCAATTTACTGGTAGTGCTACTGGGTTACTCGACTTTTACAAAATTTTATTTAAATAAATGGATGGCCACTAATATTTGGGGCATTGCCCACATGATTTTTAAAAGCACTGCATACACTCAAGTAATTACACACAAAAACCACTGCTGTTGTCAACCCTCCCCACCCACGTGTCTCCTCCTCCTCCCAGTAGAACAATACCACATCCAGAATGGGACTGTAAAGGTCACAGCTTCCTTTACAACATGCAATTAAGGCTCCTAATCACGCATATTGCTCCAAATCACCACGTTCAAGATTACAGTACTGACCCTAGAGCCGAGCAACTCCAGCCATAAGAGAATCGGGTATCATATTGCTTCCTTGGTGTTCTCCATGGCAGCTCACCACCATGTTGACATTCTAGGGTGGAAAGCACAGCATGGCCCAAAAGGGGTTAGTTATGCCTCTAACATGCAATTACAAGGACTTAATAGCCAATTAATGCAAGTAATTTGTTTCAAATGAAGGACTACCAAATGCCTGTCCATGTAGAGTAAGTGCTCTGGCCCTGGCTCTGTACTTTTCTCAGAAGAGAAGTTTCCAGGGCCGTGTTTGGAAGGCGAATGCAGTGTTCTTTGTGAATTTTACCAAACGTGGAATGACATTTTAGAGTTGGCATAGGCTATGGAAACTTACATTTAGACATACTCCTATACACATTCTTCTGACACAGTAGATCAGACCTCATGTGTTATTCAAGCACTCATGATGGGGCAATCATCTTCGTTTGTTTGAGTCTTCATATTGATTCGAAGAAAAACTTGTTCTAATCTGGGCAAGAGCTCAGCACTGTTTGGAGTCTGATGTATGACACAAATAGTGCAATTAATAACTGTTAACTGTTTATCATGTGACAGGAATATACTTTATATAATTGAATCCCCATTTAATTCCTGAAGTAGATGCTATTGTCTACTCTGATATTAATGAATGGATCAATAAGCTAGAGTATTATGTCTTTAATTTATAGATGAGGAATATTTAGGCAAATAGAGCTCAAGTAATTTGCCAAAAGAGTAAGTAGTGGAGTTGTAATTCAAATCCATTTTGCTCTAAACCCTGTATGTTTCCCATCATACCAATAATCTCAAATTGCTTCCACAAAACATAAACTCCATGAGAAAAATAAAAGATCCTGTGATCAAATGATTTCGGGAAATAATGTCTCCACATCTCCTCTAAATTAAAAATGCACGTGTTAAATGCCCTGAGGACTTCTCTAATAGAGAGATGTTTATTTAATCATATTTTAAAAATTATTTTTTCCAGGGCACTTTTAAATAAAATTTAACTCCTGTTAGTGTTTTACATAATGACTAACTAGCATTTCACAGAGTAGAAAGATTATATTAGATCCCATTGGAAGATTGCTATAATGTGACCTATCTCTGGGGTTGTTATAATGATGAAAGATGAAATGTGAGGTGAGGATCTGATCTATAGCAATTTATGTAATAAGACTGGATTTCATCCATATCTAGACCCCACGTAAGTTCCAGGACTAAGACTTTTCATGCTGTACCACCATTGCTACTGCACATATTTTAAGATCCCTGACCCTCTAGTTAAGGGGGTGTTCTGAGATATGGGAAAAAGTGGCACCTCTCATTATGAATGAACTAAAAATCAATTTTCTTGGACATATCACAGCAAACCAGGACTCCAAAATCTGGAGGGACAGTTGAATCCAGAGAGCCATAGGAAGTTTTGCTTCCTTGAAGCAGGAACTATCAGATCTATAACTTGTATGAAGACTTACATGGTTGTTTTGATGAAATGCCAGAGGCTGAGTATGGACTAGTATGAGAGTGAGAAATTTCTGGGTGCACAATCTCAGGGGGACTTACACTTTTCATAGGTTTGTACCACCAAGAATTACATCAGGTTCTTATAATGAAGATCCAGGAAGAATCACCTTGTGTCTCAGAAAGAGAGAGGAGAAAAGATTCATTGTGAAATGAACCCCAAAACCTTTTCCATAACAAAGGCCTACTCTTCAGGGAAAAGAAGTCTTCTTGAGCCTTATCTCACTTGGGACACACACACAGACACACACACACAGCCCTAGACAAATCATATTCAAGATTCAGAACTCCCCCATTTCCCCAAATCTTGAGAGAAGTCATAGGGGAAAAAACCAAACACCTTACTTATAGAGAAATGGGGATAAGAAATTACGCAGACTTGTCAATAGAAGCCATACAAGCAAGAAGATAGTGGAATGAAATATTGAAAGTGTTGAAAGAAAAAAAAATTCAACCAAGAAACCTGTATCCATTGAAATTATCCTTCAAAAGCAAAAGAGAAATACTTTCTCAGACAAGCAAAAATTGAAGAAATTTATTACTAGCATACCTGATCAGAAGAAATGTTAAAGGAAGTTCATCAGCAAGAAAATCATATAGGTCAGAAACTCAAATCTGCATAAAGAAAGGAAGAGCATGAGAGAAAAAATAAATGAAGGGCAAATAAAATTTTTAATTTATCTAAAAGATAACTTTAATAGTAACAGTATGTTAGAAGATTATAGCATATTGATAAATGAAATGAATGACAGCAATATCATAAGTGACAGGAGAGAGGAATTAGAAATACTCTGTTATAAGATACCTATATTATGTATAAAGCTACACTTAGATTAATTAAAATGTATGTTGAAAAAATGTGTACTGGAAACTCTGAGGCAATAATTAAAAATATTTAAAAATGAAGTGAAATTGATATGCTTAAATGGAATCATATAAAATAATCAGTTAAAACAAAGAAGGAGAAAAACTCAAAGGACAAATGTAATCAATAGAAAACAGTTACAAACACGGTAGGTATTAATTCAGCTAATCCAAATGGAAATGGTTTAAAGGCACCAATTCAAAGACAAAGACTGTCAGACTGAATTAGAAAAAGGCCCAGCTGTACCTTCTCTGCAAGAAACCTACTTTAATATAAAACTCAAAAAGTTTCAAAGTGAATGGATGGATAAAGATATACCTTGATAGCACCAGTCCAAGAAAAGCTAGAGTGGCTATATTAATCTCAAACAAAAAGTGGGGAGTGGTCAGCTAGAGACTTCCCCAAACAGGCAAGTCAGCAATGGGCTGGTTGAAAAATAGCTGCAGGGAGAACACCCACCTCCTCTCTCACTGTGTAAGGAGATCCCCCAGCGACTGGAGGCTGACCTGACTCCTCCTCACAGCAGTCCTGATGCTCCCCTGGGTCTCAGCTCTGCCCCTACTCTCCTTGTCAGACCCCACCCGTATCACAACCCTCACCCACCGCTGCCAGTGTGCTCTCTTCAGCCTTCTGGCTCAGTGGTGGTGGGAGTACTGGTAGTGAAGGGGTAGCATGTGTCTTTCCCTACTGTTTATTACATTGGAAGTTAGTTTTGGAATTCTAAACACATTATCTCAATTCCATTCTGCTTTAAGAACCCTACTTCTTGAGGCCATGTAGATTCTGCTGTCATGAACGAGTGGGGCAGAGAGTCATCTTACTCAACATGTATTTTGTCTTTCCCTCTCTTAATGGTGAAGTAAACATGTAAGTTCTCTTTCAAATAGCACGTTATGCCTTATTGTGTCTATCAAGCCAGTTAATTAGGACCTTGTGAAAATAAACCCAGGCTCTGAGGACAACATGAGGAAACAGTGGACAGGGATGAGAATGAAGTGGAGGTTAGGAAGAATGAAATTGGGATGGAATCAGCATATTTTCATGAAATAAGGTTTAATATCTCCATTTCAAGGTAAACTATCTCATTCAAGGTATCCCAAAGTTAATGACAAGTCTTAGCATATGGATCTTAGATATATATTGTCATTTCATTAGTAAACTTTTCTTTTCTTTTGGGAACTATATCATGGGCTAAGGAAATAATCACCTAAACCAGCATCCTAATAACTTGGAAAGATTTGTAAAAAGCCTAATAAAGAATAATTTATGAAAGATTTATGGTAGCCCTTGTGAAAGATAAAAAGATATACCATTTAGTGACAAATAGAAAACTATTCCTATGGCTTCATTATTTTTCCCTCTTTGATAAAATAAGTGCAAAGAATGAATGTAGGCCACAGACTATATATGGAAATAAACATTATTTTTCATTCAGTCCAGTATATTGAGTGAAGGCTGACTATGATCAC